GTCTGACCAGCATCTATATATCTCATGGCTTCCCTTGCTTTGTACTGTACCACAGGCTAATTATGCTCCAGTTTAGATCTTGAACGTCTTCCCTTCACTTTTTCGCTCTGTAGACAGACGGCAGAACGCACATTTGTAGCTACTTACAATGAAACTATTGTACTTGCAAGCTCTTTTGTTTTAAGTTGGATTCTGGTGTGCTGTTGTTACTCTCGCACACCTTTCCCTGGTTATTGCTGTATGGCAGTGACCACTGTACATTCTTCACGTTGCTTCCCACTCTTGTCGTCAGATGCTCCCTCCAACATTGTGAGCCACCAAAGCGGCAAGGACTCATGAGGTTCCGTCCCCTGCTGCACCGCCAATTCAAGCTTCTCTTCTACGGTCACTCCACGCACGCTCACCTGCAGCCAGCGCTGACAGGCCATCCTCCGAAATTTCCTACTCCTTGCTCGCCACTTGCTCCAGATGAATTCCCCAGGTATCGGCACCGCTACATTATGGACATTCCCCCGCCCATCATAACAGTCGTTGAGTTATCGATAGGGCAAGTCCAATGTGAGAGCACGGAACAGGAGAAGGTACGGGGTGAGTAGTACGACGCACGTAGTCTGAGTCTACTCTAACATGCTGCAGTTAGCAATAAGGCTCTGTGGCCGGAATATCCATTCTTAACCGTCCACAACATCGGGGTCGTTGTATGCGGAACATTTGCCACAATCGCCCTATCCTTGTCGTTTTACTTGATCTGGCGCCATGCGACCCATTACCTACGACCGTACGAGCAAAAACAGTAGGAGCTCTGACTGAGAGGTGGTGAACGAACTGACTGTCCTAGCATCATTCGCATCCTCTTCATGGTACCGGTCTACGTCATTGCTACCTTCCTGTCATACGTCGTCTATCACCATGCCCTGTACTTTGACTTCATTCGTGACTGCTACGAGGCGGTTGCACTGGCCAGTTTCTTCACATTGCTCTGCCACTATGTGGCACCCAACCTCCACGATCAGAAAGAGTACTTCCGTGGCGTCGAGCCAAAGAACTGGCTAGTGCTGAGCTAGGTGCAGAAGCACGTTCTGCGCAGGCACCCGATGTCCTGGCGTCGGCCACGGAGCGGCCTCACTTGGTTCAACGTTGGTCAAGGCAGCCACGTCTTCTTGTCTCTACTGACCCCCACAGATCATCTGGTTTGGCGTTTTTCAGTACTGCTTTTTTCGACCCCTCCTCTCCCTCATAGTTGGCATTACCCATTGGAGAAACCTGTACTGTCGAGGCTCACATGATCCCCGATTCGCCTACGTATGGGTCACCGGCTTCCTCGTGGCCTCAGTGACCATTGCCATGTACACCTTGGTCCACTTCTTCCGCCAGCTCAGGCCAGATCTGGGGGGCCGTCGACCAGTCCTAAAGTTCACCAGTATCAAACTTGTCATCTTCTTCTGTTTCTGGCAGAACCTTCTCGTATGGCTTTTGTTGAAGCATAAGGCGTTCAAGAAGATTCAGGCAGTTTCGGAACCCGACTGGCGGACTGGGCTTCCTTGTCTCTTGATATGCGTGGAGATGTCCATTTTCTCCTACATGCACCTGCACGCTTTTGAGTGGAGATCGTACGACCTGAACAACTTGGAAGACAACCGAGATCTCTGGCCCTGGGCCTATGCACACGGGCCGTGGCGTGCCCTTGTGTCTGCCTTGAACCCATGGGATATTGTCAAAGCCGTGTCCCGGGCATTCTACTGGATGTTCGTTGGAGTTTGGCGACGAGAAAACGACTCCTCATACGATTCGCACCGGACCTCACCACCTACTCCGGCGTCGCTGGAGAAGGGCGACGCAGCACTGGATCCCAGGAAGCGCAACTACTCGGAAGTCATGACAAAACTCGATTTTCGGAAGAGCCTTTTACGTCGGCGGCTGGGGGCGATCACTGCATAAGCCAGGGGAGGATGGACTGCGTTGCGACTACATGAGATTGACCTTTCGAAATATGACCTTTCGAAATATGACCTTTCGAAATATGACCTTTCGAAATATGACCTTTCGAAATATGACCTTTCGAAATATGACCTTTCTATGCGTAATGTATGCATCCGATCTGTAAGTGTACGAAAGTCTTTTAGCGACAATGTGGCACAAAGTTGAGGACGTGCCAAACGTGTGTTTATCAGTCACATTGACTGGAGCAAACCGGAAGAGTCCAAGCAGGTTTTCCAAGCTTCTTTAAGAGACTGATGAAGACGCTATTACCCAAACTTCACCCACGCGGAAGGTGGGCCTTGACATCAGCGCACCAGAGGCGAACGTGGCCTCCACGAAAGCACCGCTGGCACTTGCCTCGTGGCTCACGGCCTGGTTGTTGTTTCCGGCTTCAAATGTGCCGGGGAGACGAGTTACAAGCAGCTTTTTTCACACCGTCTCCCAGAACAGCGTGCACAGTCACATATCTGGCAACCCTCAATAGCAACCACAACACCCGTACCGCCCGTACTACTCCCAGAAACACCCGCTGAGTGCCGACACACATGCAGCCGAAGTCTCAAGTCCTCCTTTCTCGTTGAATATCGGAGAACACCAGCTGACAAGACCAGGAAGTCGGTGGGACTATCCCCATACCTTGTCACTTCATCGTCATCGGAGGTGATAAAGTATGGTAAGCTTCTTGATATTGCTATTGCTATTGCTAAATGCATCGCTCAAGGCCGTCGCTGTCATATAGGGTCGTTACTACTCGACCGTGCCCGCACGGGAGGTTTGCCTCCCCTGGAGCAAATTCGTTGCTACGCTGATGCGCTGATCCTTCTCTTCCCATGATGATCCGGACTTCAAACTCCTGATACTTCCCTGATGGAGCTGACGTTGCCGTTTCCTCTTCCTCTTCCTCTTCCTCTTCCTCCTGTTGAAGCCTTTGCCCTCCCCACGCGGATACCCCTCATCTGAGCATTTCGCTCGACGCTATGATCTTTCTTTCTTTCTTTCCCTTACATCCTCGTGCAAAACCTCACTGCACCTCATAAATCTCCATGGCGCGCTCCAAATCCCTCAAACTCCTCTTCTCTCCATACGCCTCCATGAGCCTCAAATTTCTGCTCTGCAATCTCGTATCCTCCAGCCCTCGTCTTCCCAACTTCGTATCCTCAATCCCGCCACCATTCATCATCAACCTCGTATCCTCCAAACCACTGCCTCGATTCATCTGCAACCGCGTATCTTCCAAACGCCTCGCCTGCAACCTCGTATCCTCCAACCCTCTCGCCTGCAATCTCGTGTCCTCGAGCCCCGTGCGCGGCATGCTCATCTGCAACCGCGTATCTTCCAAGCCTTCGTGGCCCATGAGATCAAAAGCGCGTTCCATATCCTCAAGACTCGAGCGCGAGCCATAGGCTTCCATGAGCCGTCGGTTACGCTCTTCTTGCGTCATGTGGACGGGATTTTGGCGTTGGTTGTGGGTGCCGAGGAAGTTTGTGATGGCGAAACCGATGCGGGCGTGGGCGGTCGGGGCGTCGGGGGTGGTGAGGAGGAGGTCCGAGGGGATGAGGGATAGGCCGACTGCGAGGGCGGCCATGGCGGGGAGGTACCTGGTGGGGTGTTAGAGTTGGTTTGAAGGGATGATGGCTGGGGTGAAGTACCATCTTGCTACCGGGCCGAGTTTTGCGGGTGCGGAGAGCGTGGCTACGCGGGTGTTGGCGTAAGGGTTGAGGTGCTGGAGGGTTGCGCGGGCGCGGGTGGTGGAGGAGAAGGCGCGGGCTAGGATGGGGACGGGGGGACGGAGGGCCATTGTGGGTTGTTGTTGTTTTGTCCTTGGGTAGTATGTATGTGTGTGGGTGTGTATGGATCGATCCAATGCACTTTGTATCGGGTCGAGTCGAGATGTAAGTACGTATAGCAATGTAGTCGTCTGTGGGGGTGTAGCACTTCAAAGTCTTTCTATCCTTCAAGATATCAACAGTAGTGAATTCAAATCCGAAACCCTCCAAACCCGCAGGGGAACACACCAGCAATATATACATCCCCGAAACCCCACACCCAATCTCCCCAAGCACTCCACCATCACCCCACAGCCCTCATCATCTCCCGGGCGCGGACACCGACGTGGAGGAAGTAAAGTCCAGGGACGTCAGTATCACTCCACCACGCAGCCTATCACAGCCCCGGCTTGCATCATGCTCGTCTACATCGGGCCCGACTGATCCCCGTGCACCGCCACAGTTGCCATCATGTCGGAGGTTGCCTACACCACTTCCAAGTGCACGATAGGATTTTGTCCACTTGCTAGCCACGAATACGTCTGCTAAGCCCAGCGCCTACACCCTGAAAGCCACTGAGAATACATCATAAGCCTTCTTTTCCGGCCGCGCATGTCGCCCGGGTATGCGCACGGCGGAGCGCAGCGCGCTTCCTTCTTCCTTTCAGCCTCGTTTGTGGCTCGGGAGCGCCCGCGGTTTAGCTCGGATCCAGGGTTCTAGCGTTCGGGAGAGCGGAGGTTTTTTGTACGACGGGGAGAGGGAACACGGTCCCTTCGTGACGTCCACCGGTGGTGAGAGCGTGTGCTGAGACGCGTGGTTGCCGAGGTGGAGTCGTGGGATATTCCTGTCATCCGGGATTATGTCATCTTGGAGGGGTCAAGTGAAGGTTGGAAACCATGGTGGCCATGCACATGTTAGGGTTCTGGATGATGCGCAAGGTACCACAGTAGATTGAGATGCGGGGTGGAGTGTTGTTGGTGGCGTGGTCGTGGGGTTGGATAGATTGCGCATACGAATTGCTAGACTGTGGTTTGCCTGTGACTGTTGTTTGCCTGTAACGACTCTTGGGGCATTCGTCGCAGTATTGCAGTCCGTGATCAAAGTTGAAGAGTGCTTTACATTTTGCCTACTCAGACAAAAGTGAACGGAAGCCACTGTGCTGCACTCGTAAAGTCACCTCATCAATGGGGCATGAATGAAAAAATTTGCGTACTACATAGACATTTACACGTCAACGTCTTCCATCAATCAATTGCTAGGATGGTCTAGTGGTATGACGTTCGCCTCACACGCGAAAGGTCCCGGGTTCGAGACCCGGTCTTAGTATCTCTTTTTGCCCTTTTTTCCCGCTCTCACACGCTCTTAGAAGCTGTATAGAAACTGCCACTATGTCGAGGTGCTAATAATGGATGAGGGCAGTTGTGGTGAGCCGTTTGCTTTTTGGCCCGAAGAAAACACAGAGAATTTCGGTTTCGGGGGCGAAGCTTCAAGCAACATCAACTCGATTGATTATTTGCAAGAGAGGCACGCTTTGTATTATTTTTCGGCCAGAAACAACTAAACTCATAACGCTTTTCGAGGGAAGGACCAGCAAGCACCTTGGTGAATGTGTTCGGAGGAGAACTACGCTGGTCGGCCCAGTAGGCACAGTTAAAAGGTATCATGAGCTTGTATTATAACATCCAATATGAGAAGAACACAGCACTACACCCTTGTCCTCTAAGATGCCATCCTCCACCATCAATCAACGACGTTGGCCACCGCTACGTTGAACATCTTCACCCCAGTGAAGACTTACACCGCCTGTCCTATAACCTGGCACAATTTCGTCATCGGAAAGGTCCGGTGGCGTAAATCCCAAGTCTTGGACAACATCACGTTGGACGGGAGAAATCGGTTCCATGTTGGGTTGAAGTGGGTCCTGCACCAAGACGGATGATGGGAAGGAGACGTGTAGGCTCGACAACCGGAAAAGACTGGGTTGGAGATCAATATGTGCATTTTTTTAAATGGTTCTGCAAGTAGAAATCTGCATGGTGATGGGGTGATAGGGGACAGGATCAATCATGCTTGGGCGTGTGTTTGCACTTCGTCGACTGCAGCAAAGGACCAGTGATATTTCATAGGCGCCCGAACCTGCGGAAGTTAAGTACAGTAAGGGGTATACAACCGTCAAAACGCTTCAGCAGAGAAACCGCTCGTAGGAAGGAAAATTGCAACAAACGCCCACAGCCCCTGAATGTTTCCGTAATCCTCCGTACTAACATACCTTTTGTGATAGGACCGCTATTCATCTTTCTTTAGATACTTCACCAAATCGATCATCTCAGCCTGCGACATAGCCGAACTCAGGGCTGCATACGACTCCCACAGGATCCACAAGGGGAAGACAACCCACAGGCCATTGAAGAAGGCGAGATATAACCATCTAGCCGCCAAGTTAGCTTTTCGTCCTCAAAAGTTGGATTGAACATTGCGACGCGAATAATACATTTCCACATCGTTTCGCCAATCTGCAGACATATACCGGAAATAACGTCATGGAGTCAAGGTGAGGCACCATACGCGCCCAAAAGGGGCGTATGCGGAAACACGTGTCCGCCACGACACCCGCTCACGACGCCTTCGACGCGCAGCAGAGCAACGAAAAAGAGAAGAAACCATTCCACTTACGTATACATCCAATTCGACGTGTCCAGATTGGGCGAGCCAGAGAACCACTCAGGCGCGAAAGTCATCCATCCTAGCGAGGAAACGTGTCAGCGGGCAAACAAACCATCGCATATAACGCCGCCGCCCAAACACCCCAAATGCGCTTCTCTTCTTTTCGCCCCCGTCCTCATCGTTTTGAAAAATGTAGAACATACCTCCATACAACTCCGCCGTCGCCAGCACCGTCGTCCAAAACCACCTCTTCAACGCCCCCTTCCTCTCCTCCCCCCTCAGCTGCCAACAAATCCACAACGCCAACGGCGCCCCGACCCCTACGGTCAGAATCTCCAGCGTCACGACCGTAAGATCGACACCACCCCATCGATGATCCGCCTTCGCGTACTCCTGCCACAACTTCGAGAACGGCCCCGCCCCGTACGCCGCACCGTACAACTTGTCCGACGCTTTCAACCAGTAGACATCGGGCGCCGTGAGGATGCGGATGTGAGGGTGCTGGGCGTTGGATGCGCTAAAGGTCGTCGGGAGACTGTAGGATACGAAGAAGCAGTTCCAGAGGAAGGAGCCTTCGAAGACGAGGTGGATGAGGGCGTCGAAGGAGTGCCAGATGAAGAGGATGCGCGTCTTGGTCGAAGAGGTCTTAGGGAGGAGCCGCAGAGAGGCTGCATAGGCGCCGCCGAGGAGGGCCACTACGGCTAGGAGACTCGTGATGGTCGTGGCATCGATGACCGGGCCCTGGCCGGGCGTGGAGTGGTGGTAAACAGGAGGGGGGGCAGCGGGCTTTGGCGCCGCGGTTTTGCCCCACGCCATGGCGGTGACCACAACGTCAAGAGTACGCGCTCGTGGTGGTCTACGAAGCAGCGTAGGATCGTGGGCACGCGGCTAGAGCTCAATTGCGAACGGGATGTTGCTGGGAGGCCGAGCCGTGAGGTGTGGGAGAAGCGCCAACGCAGTCACATGGCCCGCATCCTCCCACATCTAGACCGCCCAGCCCCACAAAAAAAAGTCACGAAGAAAGGTCACGCTGCAAGCACAGTCTACGAGCCGTAGGTTTTGTAGGGGATTTATTCTCGTGTTTTTGCATTCAAGGTAGATTTGAGTTGGACTGTTCCTCGACCAATTCCTCCAGAAACCACCGCGAAGTCACACTCCGGACGCCTTCCGCACCACAATTCCTGGACCGACAATCTGAAACCAATGACCACGAGACCTCGACCACCACAGGGCAACCGGGCCAATGGATAATCTGCGAAAAAGACAGGACGCTTTTACTTCCCTGAAGATGATACAAACAACGCCTACCCAGATATACGGCACTCACACGCAGTGGAGTTGAGGGGTCGACCGAAGACCAACTGAAACAGAACAAGATCCGTGGAAATTCCTCAGAAACGCCGGTAAGCCCAACGAAAGACGCCATAGTAAAACATGCAAGAAAATCCGGGAAATGCTGCAAATCGGCCATCCCGGACAATGCTGGAAAAAGAATAGAAGCTCGCTAGGAATGCCGCTGAGAGATGCCAATCGCAAGGCTCCATACCTCGCTCCGATCCGCATCGAGCTAGCGAGCGTCAGGACCGTGGCAAGGCACGAACGTCCGCTCCGCTTGTCGTGGAGAACTGGATCGCAGAAATGGAGCACCAGGGAAGCGCACTCGGTGCCTTCCTATCGGCAATCGACGTAATACCGCTAAACGCGCACCTGGGGGGTGTGGCTGCGATCCGGAAAGATGCCACCGTGCATACTGTAACCATACTGGAGACCGGAACTCGGGTGATCATCGGGACCTGATCCTGTCACTGGACCTGGCGATGATGATCGGGAGAGGAATTGACTTGGGCTCTTAGACCCAGTCGAATTGGAAGCACTGGAGAACGTGGGCATAGAAGGGGATGATGGGCTGTTGGTGGCGGAAGACTGATTGCTCCCAGCTGGAGAACTAGCGTCACTGGCACTATCCGCGACCGATTCATTTTTGGGAGGCGCAGTGACGACGGGAGCGGCGTTTCCGGTTGGGGCGCCAAACTGGAGTGTCGATTAGCATTCCTGTGGGTCCTGTCGAAAAGGAGGTGTGGAACGTACGAAACAGAACTTCTGAATCAACTCGTTGTACTCTGCCGACTGGACACCCACAGTGGAGGCATCCGAGCTCGCCCCAGGGATAGGAGCGGTGGATACGCTGACTGAGGCCGTGCTGGGAGCAGGCTTGATGCCACTCCGATCCCCAAGGGCGGTTTGCGCGGTGGTCAAGGCGGCGGAGAGAGAGGCGCTGAAGTCGTAACGGGACGAGAAGGCTTGACTGCTGGCATTGCGGCGGCCCGGATCAGTGAAGTTTGCGCGCTTAGGCCGCGGCCGCAGGCGGATGGTGCCACTGCCGAACTCGAACTTCTCATCTAGGCCACGACCAAAGTCATCGTCGAAGGAGGCGATGGGCGCTGCGCGGGGCCGAGTAGAAATCGGCGAATTTCGGCTTCGTGGAATCGGGCTCGCGCCGTGAGACGGCTTTGCCCCAGAACCAGGCTGCTTCTTCTTCTTGATGAAGTCGACTTGATAGTTCATGGAGTTGTTGTTATCCCAGAAATCTTGACCGTTGACGCTATACCGCACGCAGAGGAACAACGTCTTGTTCTCAAGGTTGGCCTGGTCAGCTAACTTGATGTTGAAGTTGAAGCGGTCGCAGCCATCACTCGCCTGCTTCTTGCGGATATCATGGTTGTATTCAGCTAGCACTTCGGACGTGGTGTTCCAGTAGTCGAGGGTAAATCGGGCGACAACAGTCTTCTGGAAGGCCAGGTTGGCAACGGCAACGGTGCCAACGAGGGTCTTGTGATCAGAGGCAAGGAAGATACGTTCTACACGAACGGGTGCGGTCTTCCTCTCGAAAGTGTCTGCTGGAAAATTCGTGACCTTGATCTCCCATTCGACTGCGGTAGAGCGGTAGCCATCATCGTAGCCCCAGGGATAATCGGCTTCGCTGTCGTATGTCTCCACGGGCGATGACCCGGCCGAGACAGCCATGGGCCGATCCAGTGAGAGAAAGTGGCGCACCTGCTCCATGTCCTCATTGAAATGGACTGCCTTGGAGTAGGTTGGCGTGCCTGGCATGCTCGAAGGCCTACGACGAGAGGCAGGTCGAAGTGCCGGCTTCACAAGCTCTCCGGACTTCTTGCGGAGTAGAGGCGGTTTCATCCGCAGGCCCTCGTCCTCGTCGTCGCTGTTCTCTGACGAGCTCGTTTGTATGGCGTTACCGCTCAGGTGTTGAGCATGGGCCGACAATGTGAGTTCGCTGGCCGAGCGAGAGTGAGCAATTTTCCGTGCTTCGGCCGAAAGCGACTGCACGGCTGCGGGAAGAGCAACCACAACAGCTTTACTTGTGTGCTCGCGAGGGGGTGACTGTGTCCGCTTCACTTCAATGTTTGATAGTGCCTCCTGCAACTCTCGCATGTTGCCAATGTTACGGCCCCGTTCTTCATCGTCAGACGAGTCTGGAGGCGTCGTGGGTGCACCTGGTGGGATCAACCGCTTGCTCACATAGGGGAATCGGCGGGCACTACCATTCGCAGTGGTGTCATGGCCGCGAGAACCGTCCGCTCCGGACGTCGCACTGCCGTTTACACTCTGCTCGTTGCTGGTATACTCATGGCGGCTGATGACGG